GGGACAAGAAAACAAGTGGGTGGATTTCACGTACGAGAATTTACAAAGTTTCTTTTTTTACTGTAAGAATAGGGCATGGGGAGAGAAATTGTGTATGGAAAAAAGAGGATGTGAGTAGGAATATGCTCGAAACAGGGAAATATGGAGATTGCGTTAGGGCCAGTGTGAGCTTCTTTATTGAGTCTAGAGGGTCTAAACCAGATTCTAGTGGGAGTCAACCCTCTGGGGAAAATTATGCCAAAATTCATAAGTCTAGTGCTAGAAATGAAAATAGTAGGGTAGAAGGCAAATCTGCTGGTTCCTCAAGCCATGTAGGACTGGATATAGTGCTAACTAATCCTATGAATTAGGGGGAGAAAGTTATCAAAGAGCCTGAACAACCAAAGGCTTCGACAACAGCTGAACTTTACAACTCTCAAGAAGTTGTGGAGAATCAGTTAGTGAAAGTCGAGATCAAGAGTGATTTGGTAGGTAAGAATGGGAATAAGGATATGAGAGGTTTTGTTAGGAAACCTAGAGTTCAATTAGGATCAGAAACTTCTGAGATGCAGCTAGATAAAAAAGGCATAGTGATTAAAGAACCAGTTAGTCTTAATAAATTGAAGAGATGGAGTCCTAGTGTTGGGGAGAGTGGGGATTTTAATGCTGATAATATGGCTAAAAGAATGAGGGGCAGTGACTTGGGTAGGGAATCAAGGGTGGAGGAGGCCAGCCCAAATTGGCCCCAAAACCCCAAATGAAGGTTTGTGTTGGAATTGTAGAGGTCTAGGGGGACCCTCTGCAATTTCCCAAACCAGAGAGATTTTAAGATCTCATCTCCCGGATTTTTTGTTTTTATCTGAAACTAAAAAGAAGCATAGTTTTGTTAATACAGTGGCTAGGAATCTTAAAATGAATAATAGATGGGTTGGTGTGGATCCAGTAGGATGTAGGGGTAGGCTCTTTTTGTATTGGTCTAATAACATAGATATTATGCAGCTTAATAAATATGACTTTTGTGTAGAGGTTCAGTTCAAGTATAAAGGCAACAATGAGGTTCAATGGGACACTTTCTTTTATGCTAGCACTAATCACTCTTATAGAACTATGCAATGGGAATTTTTGTTGAGACATAAGTTATTGTGGGGTGACTTATGGATCTTAGGAGGAGATTCCAATGATCTCCTTAGTAATCTAGATAAAAAAGAAGGGTTGGTTAGGGATGAGTCTAGTTTTGAGGGGTTTAGGAATTTTGTTAGAGGCTTGAATGGGGTAGAACCTAGATTTGAGGGTCACCATTTCACCTTGTCTAATCTTAGGAAAGAGGATGGGCTTGTGGAAGAAAGGTTAGATAGGTTTTTTCTGTCTCCTAATTGGTCAGCCCAATCTCCAAATGTCCTAGTCAAGCATATCCCTCTCTCCTCTTCTGATCATAGCCTGCTTTTACTAAATCAAAATCCCAGCACTGAGAGGGTCAGAAGGAGATTCTATTTTGATCCAAGATGGATTAAAAAAGAAGGTTTTGCTAAAGTGGTTGAAACTGCATGGAATGCTGAAGTGAAAGGGCCAACAATGATAGGGCTTCAAAAGAGGATCAAGAATGTCAGGCTAGCTCTTCTGAATTGGAATTCTGGGCTTAACACAAATGTTGCCAAGACCATTAAGGAATGTTCTATGAAATTGCAGAAAATGAGTAGTCAAGGGGAAATAGGGACTGGGCTGAGTGGCATAAGTTAAATTGTCAGTTGAAGAATGCTTATAGAGAGGAATAAATGTTTTGGAAAGTTAAGTCAAGGAATAGGTGGCTGAGGGAAGGGGATAAAAACACTAAGTTTTTCCAAGCTAGTGTTAATCAAAGAAGACAGACGAATAGCTTGGATAACTTAGTAAACTCAGGAGGTGTGAAGTGTAATAGTAGTTAGGATATTCTGGATGAAGTTCAGATGTACTTTGATAATCTGTTCAGAACTTCTAATCCTTTGGTGGATGGGTACAGTTTAGAGGGTATTCCAACTTCTATTTCTGAAAAGATGAACAAGCAGCTTACTAGGCCAGTGGAGGAGGGAGAGATTAAAGAGGCTTTGATAGGTATGGATCCTAATAAAGCACCAGGGGTGGATGGCATGTCACCAGCTTTTTTCCAAAGCTCTTGGTCCTGCATTAAGCACCACCTCTGTTTAGCTATTTTTAACTTTTTCTCTGTTGGTAGTATTCCTAGAGCTACCAATCACACTATTACTACTCTTATTCCTAAAAAGAAAAATGCCAGATTCCTTGCTGATTTCAGACCCATTAGCCTGTGTACAGTTGTCTATAGGATTATAGTTAAGATTATTGCTAATAGGCTCAAGTCTGTCCTTCATGTTTGTATTTTCCCTACTCAATCAGCCTTCATTCCAGGTAGACAAATCCTTGATAATGCTGTCATTGCTAATGAAGTTATCCACTTCATAAACACTAAAACAAAAGGTAAAGAGAGCTTTATGGCTGTCAAACTGGACATGTCAAAGGCTTATGATAGGGTGGAATGGACTTTCTTGGCCAAAATTTGCAAAAAAATAGGGTTTTGTGACAAATTTATTTCTTGGATTATGGTTTGTATTTGTACTTCTTCTTTCTCCTTTAATATTAATGGTTCAGTTCTAAGGTCTGTAGTTCCTTCTAGGGGTCTCAGATAAGGAGACCCCTTATCTCCCTATTTATTTGTTTTGTTGTCTGAGGCTTTTTCCAATTTACTCAGACAAGCTAGTCTTAACCAATCCTTGTTTGGTATTAAAATCAGTAAAATATTCTCCTGTTCTTACTCATTTGTTTTTTGCAGATGATGCTATCCTTTTTTGCAAGGCCTCAGTGAATCAGGCCAATGTTCTTATGAGTATTCTGAGGGAATATGGTATAGCATCCGGTCAGGAGATTAATTTACATAAGTCCTCAGTTTTCTTCTCTAAAAATATTTTGCCTAGTGTTCTTCAAGATATCTGTAGGGTGTTAAATGGCATAGCTTGTGTCTCTTCTAGTAAGTATTTGGGTCTTCCATTAGGAATTGGAAGGTCTAAGAGAGAGACTTTTAGGTTTGTTAGTGAGAGTGTAAAAAAAAGAGTGAGTAATGGAAAAAACTCTTTTCTAAGTGAAGCTGGAAGGGAGGTTCTTATCAAAACTGTGCTTAGTGCACTTCCAATTTATGTGATGGCTTGCTTCAAATTGCCTGTAGCAGTGTGTGATGATATGTCCAGAATCTTTGCTTCTTTTTTGTGGGGAAAGACAGAGGGTGGGAAGGACAAGGTACATTGGGCAACTTGGGATAAATTGTGTCAGGAAAAAATGAGTGGGGGGGTTGGGTTTTAGGAATTTGGCTGCCTTTAATGAAGCTCTCCTAATTAAACAATGGTTGATAATTGTAACTAATCCTAATCTTTTGATTAGTAGAGTGCTAAGAGGGAAGTACATCCATAATTCTAACGTGTTTCTTGTTAAAAAGAAGAGTACTGACTCTTGGCTATAGAGAGGGTGGCTTAGTGCCACGGATTCATTTAAGAGAGGGGTTAGGTATAAGATAGGGGATGGGAGTTCTGTATTAGTGTGGGATGATCCATGGGTTCCTAGTTTAGTGGATTTTAAGCGTAAGTGTTGTTTTGAGAGGGATATGGAGAGAATTAAAACAATTAAGGATTTAATTAGAACTGATGGCAAGGGTTGGGACAGAGAGATTGTAAGGCAAACATTTAATCCCTTTGAGGCTAATACAATTCTTAAAATTCATTTAAGTATTATGGCAAAAAAGGATACATTGGTATGGCATTTCAATAGCAATGGAAAGTTCTCTGTTGACTCGGCTTATAAATCAATAATGAACTATAAAACAGAGAGCCTTCTAGTAGCAGGTTCAAGGCCCAACAAGAAGAAGGAAAATGTGGCAAATCACTTGGAAATTAAAGCTGCCCCCAAAGCTGAAGAACTTTATGTGGAGAATGTGGCATGGATACTTGAGCACAAATAAGCAGTTGAATCATAGAGGTATGTGTGGTGGACTTAATTTGTAGAATGTGTGGGGAAGAAATTGAAGACATTGACCAACTGTTCATGAAATGTTCTCCTGTTGTTTTATGTTGGAAGTTATTGGGAATTGAATGGGAAGCATTTAAGGAGGATAGGATGAAAATTAAAGACTGGTGGGAAGATATTTGTAATTCTAAGGATGCAGCTCAAATGAAAAATAGGATTAATCTCTCGGTGTGTCTCTTGTGGAGAATTTGGAAGGCAAGGAACAATCTCATGTTTAAAAACAGGGAGTTCAAACCAGAAGAAATAGTACAAGAGGCTACGAGAGACTGAATGGAATTCAATAGTTGCTCATATATGATATGGGACATGATCAACAGGTTTCTGCTATTTCTTCAGAGTACTATAAGGAGGAATTCTTGAAGAGGGTAGGACTTGTGGAGTTCACAGTTAGTGCTCTAACCTCTCACATGGGAAAGGTAGGAATTGGTGGAACAGCAAGAAGGGATAATGCAGTGATTTTTGAAGGGAAGACATATGGAGTATGGTGTGACAATGAAGAAATAGCTTGGTACTTGGCAACTAGGTGGATGTTGAGGGTGGCCGTAGAACAGGGTTGGGATTCAATGATTGGAAGCTTAAACTCTCAAACAATGGTGGACAAGGTGAATCTTAAAAACCTTGTATCTTCTTCTTCTTGGATGGATAATGTTGTTTGTGATATTTATGAATTTCTTAACAGACTTAGTTATTGTAAATTTGTTGTAGGCTCTTTTTGTATTAGTAGTGATAGGTTAGCCATGTTGGCTTTGGAGGGAGAACCGAGTATGAATTCTCCCGGGTCTTTGTAATCAGTTGATTACTCGATTGTACATTGTTATGGTATAATAATAATATTTATCGTTTGGGAAAAAAAAAAGAGCAAAGTATATCAATTGGAATTTTGTAAGATATCCTAAGACTATATCAATTGGAATTTTGTAAGATATCCTAAGACTACCAACCAACCACTCGACCCTTTCATTTTATGTTACAAGGCCCTAAGCTTTCTCCCATGTTCAGCCCATCTCCTTCATCTTTCGAGCAGCCCTCCGGTCGCATTTCATCCCCAACGGCTCCTTTTTCTCGTCCTCTTCCCCAAAATCCGGCTCCCTCAGCAGTTTTCCCGATCGGATTTGCCCAAGCCCTCCATATTTAAGCAGCAAAGCCAACAGCCTCCTCCTCCTCAATTGTTCCATTTTAATTTCCGCCAAGTTCCCAAAATCCCGTCATCTTCCTCGGCAAGAAGGAGAGCCACCAGATTTCCGGAGACGAAGGCCGTGCGCGCCGGCGATCCAAGAGCACCAGGAACCCCGATTTCTGGCGAGGAGATTCGAGCGCACCCGAGTGCATCAAGTTCCGGCGGACCCGTGTGCAGCCAAGATTCCGCACAGCCATAGTCCGGCGAGCAGCATCAAAAATCTCGTGATTGGAACAAGAATCAGGTGGCTGGAGAACCATCAGCAGCACCAAAAGTCGAGACGTTTTAAGCCAAAAACCGAGCCACCTCCTTTTTCCATTTCAGCCTTCAGCAAGGTATATGGCTGAACCCGAATTTAACCCTATGTTAGCCGAGTTAAGGTGGTTTAAGATGTTAAGTTTTCATATTAAAAAGAAGAACAAAAAGAATGTTACTAAAAGACACTATAGAAATTTATGAGAAGAAAAGAAAACACATTAGTATTTTTGCCTTGTGTTGTATGAATTCCTGAACTGTATTCTTATCAATTTTTAGGCTGCCTAATTGTGTTTAAATTCAGAACTTATGATCATTTTATAAGAGAAGAGAAAGCATGAGGAATGATATTTTTGCCTTGCTTTGGCAAATAATTGTTGAACCATTTTGTATGAGTATTATGCCGGGCATGTGCCATTTTCAGTGCTGTTATTTTCAGTTATAAGCATAGGTTTGTTGCTATGTGAAGTTGAGAAAAAGAAAGGGAAAAGCAGGGGCTTGTAGTACTATTTCGAGGCCTTATTTTACTATGTTCTGAACATGAGCTTGGAGCCTGTTTTCATGACCTTATATGCTGTTATATATGTTTTAGTTTCAGAGGTGTTGCTTTCAGTTTAGAGGCTTTAAGATGGTGTTGAAAGTTTTAAGAAAAAGAAGAGAAAAAGGGAAAGTTTTGTTGTATGTTTTTGGCCTCGGTTTTGTTGAACTTTTATGTGATTTATATGGTGTTAATGAGTGAAATTTCAGAGTTTTAAAATCAGTCCATAAGGCCTTTGATGTGTGGCTTAATGCTTGAGAAAAAGAAAGGATTTGTAGTTGTCTTAAGCCGTGTGTTTGGCCTCATCTTGCTGAGTTGATTGCTGAGATTTATGGTGACTTTTAGCATGCTGAAATTATCTAACTTTCAGAGGTTACATTTCAGTTTTAAGGCCTTTATGCATTTTTTTGAAATTGAGGAAAAAGAGAAAGAAAAGAAGGTGATAGAGAGGCACTATGTTGATGTGTTGTTGCCATGTTATTGTGCTTGAGCACCAAGCCTTTTTCGTGTGCTAATGTGCTGTTTTGATGCATATTTTAGAGTTCTTAGTTCAGCTCTTATGTGGCCTTAAGGTGTTCTTGAAATGTGTTTTTGTGCCTTAAGGAAAAGGAAAAGAAAAGGTTACTATTGGCCTTGACCCTAGGGTTTATTTAAGTCAAAGTGAACCAAACCGATGTAGAATTAATTTTCTGGACTTCAGATATTTTAGTCGAGGACTTTAGACGAGTTTGGAAAATTAAGAAATGAAGGAAACTAATTAATTTTGATAATTAATTAATTTTGAAAGAGAAATCCGAAGAGTTAATCGAGAAATTAATTAACCGAATGAAATAATTAATTTAGCTAAGGAAATACATGAAAGTTTGATAAGAATTTTTAAGCAATGGTTTAACTCAAAAGAAAAATGTTCTAAGTATCAAATGTTGAAATTGTAGATTAACAAGAAAACGAGCCCTCGCCAGAATTTTCACTAGCATTCGCATCGACTGCATTTCAAGGTGGGGGGATTCTTACTAAGTATCATATTCTTTATAATGCCAAGATATTATGATCGAGGTATGTGCTATGCTACGAGGTAGCCGATGTGTGGGTAACCCCTCCGGTGAAATGATGTACACATGTGTAGGGCGAAAGCCCATTCTACAGTTCTACAGCTATGTTCCATGCTATGTGATCTATGTTTCATGCCGATATTATTTATCTATCATTATGCTGTGAATACGTGCGTAGTAGACTTCACCCCCACATGTTTTTCCTCCAGGTTGATGTTCGTTGGCGCGAGACGTCATGATTACGCTAGGTATGTTCAAATGTCAAAGCTGCAGTTAAGCAATAGCTATAGTCGAGAAGTAAGTTTTACGTTCAAGGTTTAAGTACTAAGTTAAATGACAATGTTTTTCAAAAGCAACAGTACAAGCCATGTTTTTAGTAAAATACCCTAAAGAAATGTTAAAGTTTAAAAATGTCTTTGCAAAAAGTTTTGCAAATATTCTGAAAAGACACGTGTTTCGATGCCAGATGCCATGAGGAGGGTATTTTACATTATTGATCTGGTGCTTTTGTAGGGCTGGTTTTGTGTAATTTGAGGATTTTTTTTTTTATGTGTTGACTCAGAGGGTGTTTGCAGTTTAGGGGGCGAAGTGCGCAAGATGTACCAGTGGGTCTCGTCTGTAATTGATCGAATTTAGTCTCTTTCAGTTGATTGTTCCACAAACTGATTTTCTTTTTTCTTTACATTAAATCATGAGTTCTGTGTCTGAAAATCTATGTTCTAATACAGTACAATACTCGCCTTTTGAGAATTCCTCAATGTTTTGGTGCAAAATGTCGTTCGTCGATCATGAGGTTCATTTTTGCGAATCAGAAAATGAATGTAAATAGTCTTTCTTATTATTGTTCTTGCTTGAATAAAAAATATTCAACTGAATAGAATAAAAAACAAGTCTTCTTTTCAAATCAGATATGATTGATCTAGAATTCATTTGAACAAAAAAAGCAGGTCACCTTGTTTCTGGTGTAGGGTGGTGACAGATATAAAATCCGAACAACTGGGCAAATGTTGGCTTCTAAAGCTTGATTCTTTTAGACTATGATCCACTGAAGAGTTCGGATCATGCATAGATTCTTGGAGTTTTGCGTCTCAGAACAGCATTGAATAATTATAGTATTAAAAGGTCCCCTACACACGAATTTTTCTTATGCCAATGATGTATTTATTATTTCCCCTTCTCTCTTTCATGTTGTCTTTGAGATCGGGGGTAGGTGAAAGGAGCAAGCAAATTGCTTGGACTAGGGAACATAACCTTTGTTATTTAACATGTGAAATAACTGTGAGTCAATTTTAGTATATACTTTTTTATTAGTGGGAATTTTAAGTTAGTATAAGTTTCTCTTGCAGAAAGGCAATCTTGGGTTTCGCTTGCTCTGGCACCTCATGCATTTAGTCTTCAGCCTATGTTACTTTGTTCACAGTTTGATAAATGCAATCGAGAGCTTTCTTATCTCGAGTGGTATATTTAAGCAGTACAAACATCTTGATATTAGCAAAGTTCAGTACCTGGCCGTTGTAATAGACAGTGAAGAAGCCCTCGAGATGTTGAAAGTTGTCGAGCTATTACGATGGCTTGCGGATATTGGGATTAAAAAAATTTGCCTTTATGATAAAGAAGGTATGGTTGCATAACACTAAAGATTAACATGCTAATCCCATGTCAAATTTATGTTTTCATGCTTAAAGTATGACATTGGTAATATGCCAACCTTTGTTCTTTTTCTTGTAGGAGTGTTGAAAAAATCCAAAGATGCCCTAATGATATGGTTGAAAAGTGAAAGAATTTTAAAGGTGAGTAAATTCCACCACCCTCTTGAATCTCTTTTCGTGTTTTAATATTAACAAGTGACATATTCATTAATAAAATCTAATAGTAAATGATCACCTTATATTATCCGGTCATTACCTTTTCTTTCGGAAGTATGGCTTTCTTAATCCCATTTTTCTGCTATTCCCGTCGAAAGCATATAAGCTAGTTTATAGCTTATTTGATTAGCTTATAAGCTTCATGTATTCGAATAAGCTTGGTTTGGTAGGACGAATTTTTTTAAAAAGTTCGAGGTTATCTTATGAGCTTCCTTGAGTAGCTTTTCAAAGAAGCCCATTGAAATTTTTGTTTCAGCTAACTTATCATCAGCTAATTTTACCAAACACTTTTATCATATAAGCTAGTTTTGCAGCCAAAGTCACAAGCTATCAGCTATAAGCTCGAAATTCACTTAAAAGCTATAAACTAGCTTATCAACTAGGTTTACCAAACATAGCCTTACAACAAATTCAGAGGTTTATCTATACTTGTTAACTTTTTATATTTGTTCTGTTAGTGGTGATATGCTATTTTTAGGTAATGGCTTTTCTTGTGCTTCATGTATTAGACAAGTGATAGACAGTGTGTGTGAGATAACATCTTTCGGAAAATATGTCATGATGGCGTTTATTCCCAAAAAAAATAAAAGTAAAAATAAAAAAAAAAAAAAATCTTTATGCAGGAGGGTACTAGCTATCCTGTTCTTGAGCAGAAATATATGAGTTTGGAAGTGATTTCATTTTCTGATTCAAAAGATGCGGTTGCAAAAGCAGCTAATTTTCTTTTGATGAAGCATTACTTGGGTACTGAAGAGACACCCGAGTTAACCGAACCTGACATGACAAATGCTCTCAAAGCAATAGGTATGTTTTTCTTGTCGATAGTTTGAATGATTTCTTTACGGAACAGTGTATGTAAAGAATATGATAATAAAGTTCTTCTAGATTTAGGACATGTTAATCATTATTTTGGTGCATATAAGGGTATGGGACTCTAGAGCCAGATCTCATGTTAATTTATGGGCCTGCGAGATGCCACCTAGGATTTCCAGCTTGGAGAAGTCGTTACACAGAGATGGTGTAAGTGTTGGCTACCGTACTTTACAATCAGCTTGTTTGCCAAAAACAACAATTATTATTTTGAAATCACAATTACCACCAAAAGTGTTACAAAGCATTCTTCGAGTTTTTTTTTTTTTTTGGCTTTAATAGATAACCCCTCTTAGCTGTGGATTCAAAGAATTACTGGATAATTTTGTGATTAACCCAAATCAGTAGCTATATCTCATTAACTGTTGATTTCGATAAATAAAATAGTAATTATCTCTGTTTTTCCTAGACCATTTACCCTTTTGAACACCGGACTTAAAAACATATATATTTATTCGCAGGCATATGGGACCTTTGAAATCAATGAAATTTGGTGCCATCATCAAGGCAATTCACAAGTTCACTAAAGTACATCAGAACTATGGTACGTCTGCCCGCTTCATTTATGCAGTTGATTTCCTTCTTTCTCTCCTTGTTCTTATTTCTTATTTGGCTACTAATTTGATTTTGAACCAGTCTATGTTCCTTGTTTGAATCTCTTAGTTCTGAAGACTTGTAATGGAGTCGGTTTATTATGGTTCAAAAAACTTGCCTCTGTTGTAATTTTCTTGACTTGAGCTAAACTTCAATTTTGCTCACTTTCCAGTTGTGAAATTAATGTAGCTTCCTTTTGTTCCTAGGTACATAAACCGGTATACTTCCAAGTGGCAATTTGTTATACGTACGCTATATACGAGGATATGACATATTTGTAAGCTGCAGCCGAACATCTAAACTATGTACGGTTATATTGGATTTTACATGGTTGTGTGATTTTCTATCATGAGATGTACACAAAACACTTTTCAACCATCTATCATATTAGTATTACCTCTCCCTCCCTCTCTAGGGTTGGCAAATCGTACTATCGTGTTGTGTTTCATGCTCGTGTTTGTCATGTTATTCATTTTATTTCATCAATAATAAATCCAATTTTAACTAATTCTTTTACTTCGTGTTACTCTTGTAGCGTACCGAGTTCATGCACATTGTATCATTTGCCTTCGTAGTCGTTGTCTAATCATGTCGTGTTCGGGTCATGCAGATTTTCTCGTTTACTTTGTAATCCTGTTTTCTTTTTCGCACATATATCCACAAATTATCGAATCAAACAAACATAAATGTCATATGATCTCAAACAATCTTGACTCAGAAAGTAGTATCTCAAACTACATAATCAGTTACTATAAAACCACAAATATCTAATACAAGTAACATTATTACACACAATCTGATTCTGATTTTCTAGGCTCATCGTTACATAACAAAGCTATCAACGTCGTTCTCTATATAAACAGAACCAACTTAAAACATAAAAATGCAACCCCCAACAAATTATTGAAAAAAAAAAAAAAAATGAAAAGAAAAGTCTGTACACTTCACAAAGAAGAGTTTCATCATGATTTCAACCTCATCAATTCATTTACCTCATTTGGAAATTTAAGGTTTTGATGCAATAGGCATACATGAAGGCGAAAAAAACCGCAAAGCCAACAAGCACGGCTGCAACTGGGCCTTTGAAGTCGGGATCGTACCCAAAATGGGTCTGAATGTACGATTTGATGGTCGGTTGTGTGCTCATTCCGGCCACACTAATTGTTGTCTCAACATCGCCATATTGTCCGATGATTAGTCCGTAGACTGTCCATGCCACCGGGCAAATCCAGTAATACCATACCCACCACTTTGGGATTTTCTGATCATCCAAGAACATGATAAATAAATTTAATTAAAACATGACACATGTTTGTGTTTAAGGTTAAATACATATTACAGGCTAAAATGCATTTCTGACCGTATTATATTATGAAGGTAGTAATTTAGGTCTTACTGGAGTGATATATAGCAATTTAAGTCTCGTAATTTAATATTTTGCAGCAATTTCAGTCATTTGAATGTTAAAATTTCAAATTTTAACGGTTAAACTGCAAAAAAAAAAAAAATAAATAAAAAATTCAAAACTAAATTGTTAATCAAAGTCCATCTGACAAAATTTGCAATTTAGCCCTTATTACATTATTAAAACAGTTTTTAGTGAAAGAGTTGTAGGAATGGCTATTATTGGTTAGATCCAAGTTTTCATCTCCTGAGGTAGCTAAATTTTCATTTGGCAAAATTCTAGCTACATAATGTTCATTAAGAAGCACAAGTTATACACATCACTTGAGACTATTTGAAATTTTGGAAAGACATAAGTGAGTAAAAATAACAACTTACAGGCCTGGGGATGAAGAACCCGGAAAACAGATTGAACAACGCGTAAAAAGCAGCTGCAAAAATCGCGGCAACTTGATGGTTTGGTGTGATGGAGACAGTCATCATCCCGTAATACGTGAAGTATAGGAACGAAAAAAATGTGACGAAATAGAACCAAAAGAATTTAGCTGCCGTCCACTCGAAGCTCACCATCGCATACACGATTATGGTATAGTACGTCGTCTGAATGAGCACGTACGGTATTTCTACAATGACCTGCAAAATTAATCAAAAAAAAAAAAGAAACACGAATCAACTCTTAATCGTCTATATATATTTTCGTATAAAAATTTATGCATGACCAATAAATTTACAAACCTGTGCAATAGCATATGGTAGAGCAGAGTACATCCCTGCAGCCCTTTCTCTATAGAACACAGTTCGCTCGATGGCTACAACAGGTTGTACCGTAGAACAATTATTTATCCCGACAAACAGTACAGAAGCATACATGGCGCCTATGATCGTCAAAAGATCCGTGTCCGTATTCCTGAAAAAATCCATAAATCAAAAAGTTAAAAAAAAAAAGAAGAAATATTTAGTAAGTTCACAACTGGTTTTGAGGCCTCTTTTATATATTTTGAAAAAAAAAAAAGAAAGAAAGTACGAACTTTTGTGTGCCAACTCGCCAGAAGATTGTCCCGACAAGAAGTGCGCAAGCCAAAGTGAAGAAATATCTGACGAGATTATAATCCGGGCTTCTCCAATAAGTCCACCATTGTTTCCAGAGGCAGTATTTAAACTGTCCCCAAGTGGATTGTGAGTATTGTGTGTTGAAGTACAAGTCTTTTGCCCCTGGAACCGGTATACTTAGTTCTTTCACTAATGCATTGTTTCGCCTGAAAAATATTTTTGAATCGAAAGAAGTTAGCAGTTTGTTGCACTTTTAGCCAAAAAATTTTCTAACTCCCTAAAAGAGTCGATTTTTTCTTACTCGTATAAGGCTGTTGATTTGTAGTGTTCGGCAAAATCAATCCCGAGTTTAGCTTCCATTGCCATCGAGCTAGCTTCAAGCATCCATGTGGCCGGATTATACTTCTCTTTGATTCTTGGAACACCGGGAATCGCCTGCATATAAACAACAAGTCCCGTCATTTTTTCTTACGGCGGTGTAACTTTTTATTTATTCAAAAGTTAAATTTATGAGCTACCTCGAAGTACTCAATGATCTTCTGCGAGTGCCGGCCCAAAGGTCCTGCATAAATCACCTGCCCTCCTCTTTTCATCAAAAGCAACTGCCTCACACAGCACAACAAAAGGTGTCAAACAAACAAAAAACTAAAAGTAAATATTAAACATAGCAAAAAAGGAAAAATGTAATATTAATTAACCTCATCAAAAGATTCGAAAATGTCGATGCTAGGCTGATGAATGGTGCAGACCACAGTCCTGCCAGTATCCACAGTGTTCCTCACAGTCCTCATTACTATAGCCGCTGCACGTGCATCGAGACCTGAAGTCGGCTCATCCATGAATATAATCGAAGGATTTGCAACGAGCTCCACAGCTATAGTCAATCTCTTCCTTTGCTCGGTCGATAATCCTGTGACTCCTGGTATCCCCACTATAGCATCCTTGAGATTATCTAATTCCACTAACTCCATCACCTCATCCACAAAAGCCTGTCAAATTAACAAATCCTTTTTAACAACATTTCAAACTAAAAATTCTTTTAAAAAAAAGGCAAAATTGCATATTAATACACCACATTCCATGTTTTTTGCAATTTAATCACCACCTTTATAATTTTGCAATTTAATACACAACCTTTACTGTTTTTGCAAATCGATACATGAATGACGGCTCCGTTAAAGAAAATCTGACATGGCATTTAGCCACGTCAATGCCATGTCAGATTTTCGTTAGATTTTTTTAACGGAACCGTCATTCATGTATCGATTTGTAAAAATGGTAAAGGTGGTGTATTAATTTGCAAAATTGTAAAGGTGGTGATTAAATTGCCAAAACATGGAATGTGGTGTATTAATATGCAATTTTGCCTTTAGAAAAAAAGTTGAAAATTTGCTTACCATCTTTTGTTCCTTGTTGACTTCTTCCGGAAGGCGGAGGCATGCGGAATAAATAAGAGATTCGCGTACGGTCACTTGAGGCGAGTGGATGTCATTTTGTTCACAATAACCGGAGATTCTCGCGAAAGTCTCTTGATTTTTGGGAAAACCGGATATTCGGATATCGCCCTCGATATAGCCTCCGGTTTTTCTTCCCGCCAAAACGTCCATCAGTGTGGTTTTGCCGGCCCCACTCACTCCCATCAATGCCGTTAGGATTCCGGGCCGGAAAGCGCTTGTCACCTCACGAAGAAGTTGAAGCCTATCCTCTGTCACTCCTTGTTCCTTCATTTCCTGTTTTCCAAAACAGAACGAGTTGCCATTCAAAAATATTAAAAAATGTTTTTTTAAAGTTTTGTATTTGCGAATTGCAATGCATTTTCAGTCATTTGAGGACTGAAATTGACAAGATTCTAAATTACATGACTGTAATTGTAATTAAATTTTAAAATACAAGACTTAAATTGCTAATAATAAATTCATTCCAAATATATAAAATTATAAATCGAGAATTTGTTTTGGTTTAAGTCATTTGAGGACTAAAAGCAACAAAATATTAAATTACAGGACCAAAAAGGTGAAATGATAGAATATTGAGACTAAAATTGATATGGCTGACTAAAATTGCAGTTTAGCCTCTTTTTACCGGTGGCATGTCGACATAATAGTTGACATTGTCAAAGGACATTGATAAAGGCGTGAAAGGCAAAACCATTCCTCTCTTAGGTGCGTTTCCTCTCACGGTCCCGAGGCTCGAGTTTTGACTTCGGCTGAGTCCGTAGACACTTGAAAGGCTGCTCATACGTTGGATGGTCATCTCCGCTAATAACAAGAAAAACAAAGATAACAAACATTCCTCATTAATTAATTAGCAAACTATGCTTGCTTAAATAGTGAAATGATACTAATTAGTTTATGTTCATGTATTAATTATTATTATTACTTGTGTTGTTCCCATCGTCGTTGGATAAGGATCTGCGGAAGGAATCTTGTCTCGGATTTGTTGTTCTGAGTCTGGGGGTATTCTCGTCTTGGTTGGTTTCCATTTCCCTTGCTTCCTCTTTCGATATTATGGCTTGTGGCTTTCCAAGAGCTGTTGCGTATAGTAGAAATATAATAATTCTCATATTAGAACACAAACAAGGAAAAAAAAATAGAGGAAAAAATTTGCAATTTTGCAGCTCTTCTTGTAAGCAAAATAATCCTGCATTCTTTTGAAAATGCATAATTCACAACTTGCTGTAAATTTATGAAATAAATTCAGAAAGTTGTTGGAAAAATATTGCATTTGCTACCAACTTACGGTTAAGATACATGAGGGCGAAAGTGAAAAGAACGTTGAACAATAGCGTGAACCCCACAAGTGCACCAACCCCTATCCAATACCAGTTTCTCTGTGGGAAGATATTAAAGTTGTTCAAAATGGCCACTCCCAATCTAGTTCTGTTATCCGAGGCCTGCATGGGACGAGATATCATATTTTACGAAGTTATTTTGTTACAACCAAGAAAAAATATAGAAAAGAAAACAAAATGTTACTCAGAAAAATGCAGACTAGACTTGAGGTATACCAATTTGTTCATCCATCTCGTAGCAAACATCTCGTTGACTGCAATGGCGTTATATCCATAGGTCAGAGGTGATAGCCAGTAGCCCCAACCCCACCAGTCCGGAATTTGGTCTGCAATTTACAAAAAAAATGAGGTTCACTAAACGATAATTACAAGTTGGAACTGTTTGTTTTGTTAATAAAGTCAAAATAAAGAGCGTTCGTTAGTTAGTTCGGCATTTTTGTTGAGGGCAGCTTACTTTTCGGAAGAATGAAGCCGCCCAAAAGGAACACTAGCAAAAGAGTTAATGCGCCACCGGTGTTAGCAATGATCATTGTCCTGCATATTGCGGCTATCAGCCTGAATATCCCTGCCGCCATTTGCTGGATCACGAATATCAGCAGGAATTGCTTGAAGAACCTGAAATTTTGATGAAAAAAATTTTGAAACTGATAAAAGGACTAAATATATAATAAAATTCATATTTTTTTTTTTTCCAAATGAAGTAAAAAAATAAAGAACCTGCTAGGCTCGGGCGTGAATCCAATCGTATAATAAGTGGTGACCATCCACACAACCGCTTCAAAAATCGAAATCGGAATCCTCAACAGAAAAGTCGGCAGCGTAAAAGCCCAAGCCGGATGAAACAGAAGGTCCCTATGCTTGTAAAAAACCGGAAGCCTCTGTATAGTGAGCGAAAGCTCGGCAAACCCGTTAAAAGTATTGCATATCATACTAAACAGAAGCGCGCCAATATAAACGGCTCCATCCTGTTCATTTCTCGTGTGCATGTTTGTCCGCAAGAACAGAGTCGACGTGATAATGGCGACTATGAAAATCTGCACTGTCTTAAAAACGTAGACGAACGAGTTTCTCTTGATGAGGAGCCACTCTTTGTCGAAATTGGCCTTGAGAAGCTCCCGTTTGGGTACGGAGTATTTTTTGAAGACAAGGGCCGCCTTGTGAGTCCTGTCCTTATCGTAAGGTACGGAGAGCTCGTTTTCGAGACGTAGGCCGACGTGAAAGCGCTTGAACCGTTGGGCAAATTCCGAGACGGGTATGTAACGGTAGGGCTTGGATCGGTCGACCCAGTATTGCTCCTGATCCTTTCTTGAGGTCACCTGTTTTTGTTTTTGTTTTTTATGATAGTTTAGTTTTGTTAGCTTGTTTTGGTAGTACGATTTTGTTGGGTTGGGTACACTCACAACAACACGTGGACACTAACATAATTACTTTATTATATTTACAAAGTAATTACGTTTTTACGACAGTTTAGTTTTGTTAGCTTATTTTGGTAGTATGATTTTGTTGGGTTGGATACACTCACAACACGTGACACTAACGTAACTACTTTATTATATTAACAAAGTAATTACGTTTTTATGACAGTTTAGTTTTGTTGGCTTGTTTTGGTGGTATGGATTTGTTGGATTGGGTACACTCACAACAACACGTGGATACTAACGTAATTACTTTATTTTATTAACAGAGTTATGTTTTTATGACATTATTTTGTTTTGTTAGCTTGGTTTGGTAGTATGATTTTGTTGGGTTGGTACACTCACAACAACAACACGTGGACACTAATGTAATTACTTTATTATATTAACTCACAACAACACGTGGACACTAATGTAATTACTTTATTATATTAACAAAGCAATTACATATATTTGATCAATTTTTAGGTGAGCATAGATCAAATATTGATTTTTTTACTTTACCTCTTGCAAGAAATCAGCAGTCCCTTTTCGCTCGGGGCAAGTGAAGCCGCAGGTTTGGAAGAAGTCGACGACATGCTGGCGTGGGCCCTGATACACGATCTGACCTTCGGATAACAAGATGACGTCATCAAAGAGGTCGAAGGTCTCGGGTGCGGGTTGGAGGAGGGACATGAATACGGTGGCCTCGGTGAGGTGGACGATCTGCTGCAAGCACTTGACTATCTGAAACGTGGTGGAGCTGTCGAGGCCGGTCGATATCTCGTCCATGAAAAGCGTCTTTGTGGGACCCACAATCATCTCGCCTGTGTAGTTGTAGTGTACACAATTGAAAAAAATCACGCTAGGAAAGTGTTTTTTGCATTCTCGAGTCGATGCATGAGCATAAATTGCTCTATATGGATTAGTTAAGTTTATTGGAAGATGATTCATGCATAAGAACCTGTAGTTACACGCTTTTTTTGACCTCCTGAAATGCCTCTTATCATTTCATCTCCAACAATGGTGTCTCTACACACATCAAGTCCCAATATCTGCAATTTTCATTTTATTTTTAATTTAAATTATAGAAAAGAAAAAAATAAAAATAGGACGACTTCAGACTCCTGTTTTCAAACCAAATGGACAAGTTGCTCACCAAACAAAATCCAAGGTCTACGTTGATGGCCCACACCAATTCTAGACCTTAATGAGTCATATGTGGGCCCAAAGCCCAACAACAACCCGATGATGGTTGGTGAGCTGAGATTTTTGACCCAATTTCAACAGAATAAATTTTTTTATAATTTTTATATATTATATATTACTCCACTTTTTAGACCATCTTAAAAGAGGACAATTTTTAAACAAATAAATAAATAAACCAGGAGATTTATTATAAACCTATGTCTCAGATGTTTGTTTAGTTAGCAGAGGACATAATTTAATTAAAAGTGATAATCCTTAATTTGGAAAATAACAATACTTATACATACACAACATATAAAACAGATACAATTTCATCATGTTTAATTTACCCTCAAAGTATAATCTGTAATAAGGCTGCTCTCCACACCCTGCATAGCAGTTGCCTGTTGGAGCAAAAATAGCAAAATCATTAACTAAAAGAAACATTTCTATCTTATGTTAAGCAGGTCTAATTACATAAATATGCGTAATTTAATTAAAAATTATCTTAGTTTAATATAAATAGAACAATGTCATTTGACAGTATAAGTATGCATTTTTATTTACAAATTATAGCGAGTCGACCTGTTTAACAATTGAGTCGCATCACACTAG